GGTTCTGGGTAATCCAGAATGGCCGCCACTTTGGTCCTAAGAGGTCGAATGCCTTGAGCATCGATAGTGTGTCCTAGGAAGTCTAACGAGTCGGTTCCGAATTGGCATTTCTGAACGTTTACAGTTATGCCATGTTTTTGAAGTCGTTCGAAAACAAGATCCAGATGCTTGAGATGTGTTTCTCTGTCCGGACTTGCGATTAGACAGTCATCAACATACGCGTGTACGAAGTTGAGACCTCGAAAAACGTCGTCTATGAATCTTTGGAATGTTTGAGCAGCATTCCTTAGACCGAAAGGCATTCGCAAAAATTCATAGAGTCCGAAAGGAGTTATGATAGCTGTTTTCGGTATGTCGTCAGTAGCCATAGGGATTTGGTTATACGCTTTAACCAAGTCGATTTTCGAAAAGACAGTTGTACCTTTCAAGGTAGCTGTCAAATCGTGAATGTGAGGCAACGGGTAACGATCGGGAATGGTTTTCGCGTTCAATCGCCGATAGTCACCAGTTGGACGCCAATCGTTGCTGTCCTTTTTAGGGACCATGTGCAACGGAGATGCATATGGGCTACTTGACGGTCGTATGATTCCTAAGTCCATCATGTGATCGAATTCGTTTTTCGCTAACCTTAGCTTTTCCGGAGCTAGTCGTCGTGCTTTAGAGAATACAGGTGGTCCTGTAGTCGTGATGTGATGTGTAACATTGCTGGTTACACACGGTAGTTTCGGTTGAGTTTGTTGTATCCCAGGGTACTTATCGAGTAGTGGTTGATAGAGTGGGTCTATCATATGTTTAACTGTGACTGGGGATACTCTACAACCAGTAAAAGAAGTTACGCAAACGGACAAATTAGTGTTTCCGTCTACTAGCCTCCGTTTGCGCGTGTCGATGATCAGATTGTGGTGTTGTAGAAGGTCCATACCAATGATTGGCATAGAAACATCTGCAACAACGAAAATCCAGTGGATGGGTTTGCGTAAACCCACGTTAAGGTAAACGTACCTTTTGCCATACGTAGCGATCGGTTTTCCGTTTGCCGCCTGTAAGTTTAGGGTCGATTCGTGTAGTCGGTCGTTAGGATTTGCTGGGAGAACGCTAACTTCTGCGCCAGTGTCGACGAGGTAACGAACTCTCGTTGTCACATCTGTGACGAATAACAGACGGCTTTGTTCGCCGGCTACGGTTGCCGTTAACGCGTGCCGGCTTGGAAGTTTCCCGAATTGCTTTTCGAATCAGTCGGTTTCGTGTTGGGAAAATTGCAGGGTTTTCTGCAATTTCTGGAAAGCTTTCCATACTGGTTATGATACCAGCACCAGTCGGGGTTATCTGTCTCTCGTGGTCTAGAGACAGATCGCTTACGAGAAATGCTTCTACGTGGTGTGCGCGATCTCTTACGGTCGTTACGAAGACTAAGATAACGCGTGAGTGTGTGACATAAGTCGTTTATATCATTCTGAGTCGTTTGAGGTTTTTCTTTGACTGAAAATACCTCGGTAGTAGATTTCGTAATTTCTAATATGCGGTCGGCAGATGCAGCTAGCTCGTCTACGGCATTGTTCTGGAACGAGACCAGAACTGCTTGCACCTGTTGGGGAAGTTTTGACAAGAAGAGTTGTTTGAATAGGCCTTCGTCGAAAGTTCTTGGGCCTATTACCTCTCTCATCCGTTGCAACATGTCTGTCGCAGAACCATGTTGCAGGTCGATATTGTTGAAGAGTTGATCTAACCTTTGTCGATCGGTTAGGTCTCCTCGTTTAAGAATCGAGCGTTTTAAGATTTCGTAAGGATCGGAAACATCACTAGTAAACATACTAGGTGTTACGTACCTGTTGAATTCGCGCGGTAGTGCCTTGACTACTGCGAGGAATTGTGCACGTGTGTCGATCACGCCGTGCTCGGAGAAGTCGGCTTCTGCGTAGCAAAACCAGGCTTCGATGTTGTCGGGCCAGAAAGGCATCAGTTGAAACGAAGGCGGGGACAAAGTCTTAAGCTTGAGTACTTTAGGTGTCTGTTCAGTCATGATGAAGTATGAAGTACGATAATGAACAAGGGGAAAATATATATATCCAGGAAAAAACACGAAAAAAAATCACAATGTTTAAAAAATTAAAAAAATAAGGCAATGATATATAAAAATCCCAAAAAGGAACAGACTCACAGTTGCAATTAGGTGTACCAGATCACGTCGGTTTCACCAATGATGATGTCACAGGTATTCAGTGTTTGACAACGCTTCTACCAGTAACACCTTCTAATATATTTCGTTCCCGCCCAGAGAAATCAAAAGACAGAGTCGAGGAGATCGGAAGAGTATATTTGGCGATGACCAATATATCGGAATTCTCTGATCTAATCTGGCTAGCGATTGCGGTTGATGTTGAGCACGGCGTTACCACACGTGATCTGGTGCAGATGCCTGACCGAGCGCCTTCAGCTAGGTGAGTCCACTAAAACATATGGTCAGCATCCAATGTCGAAAACTTAGTGCTATTTATTTTGGGGATTTATTTACCGCTACAACTTAAATTAGCGATCAACCAGACATTTTATGCAGCACAACCTGTCATTATCGAAAAAACAAGCTCTTTGTTTCACCAAAAGCCCAAACAGCATAAAAGCGATTGTACTACAACCTACTGTGTCTACCAATCTACATGTATGTGCGGAAACACGTACATACGGAGGAGCGGCCGTGATTTGCAATTAAGGGTGGGTGAACACATACCGAAATATATTCCAGTAGTCGAATAAAATCACAGGATGAACAGAAATCATCCTTCATTCGATTGAGACTGGTCATAACGTTGACATTAAGCATCTCACTAAGTCAGCATTTGTAATGTTATACAAAAGCTTTCAAGGACGTATACTAAGGTTTATTGGAACCTCGGCTATACGGAAATTGAAACCATGTTTATGTGTTTAAAAACAATATTCAGTATGGGGGTTGTGGAGATTGTTAAGTTTTTGGTTGAGATCATGAATTAATTGATGTTGGACCACCGTTGGAAACCTGGAAGCACTGGACGGCGGTTTCGTCCTAGTATGGGACTCCTCAGCAGTGCGCATCCACGATCCCGCACCCCGCGGGATTCGAACCCAGGACCTACTGGCTTCGCGCCTGAGCACTTAACCATTAGACCACTGAGCCGGCATCCGCAAACTGATAATTAACATGTGCTCACTAGTGACTAGCTTCGTGAGGGAATTCTCGGAGTTCTAGTGAGAAGTCGTGACCAGTGGAGCTAATCCGTGTCGGGTAGAGACAGGTAACCACCTCCGTACAATGGAAGGTGGTCGCGCAATTTCGTGGATTGGTTGATGTTAGACACTAACACCATTGGATGCCGGCTTTCCTTTAAAACACTTGAAGGTGTCGCGATTCTCTTTCCAAACGATCGAATGTGTTGATATTAATGAAATTTGCTGAAGTTACCACAGTTTTTCTGAGTTTGACAACGCTTTAACCAGTAACATCGTCTCCTGTGAATCATTCATCAAGTAAAATCAAAAGAGAGAAATGAGGGGGTTCGAAGATTTATTTGATAAGCTATTAATATATTGGGGGTTGTTTGATCTAATCTCGCTACCGATTGCAGTAGATGTTGAACATGACGTTCCCACTCGTAATCTGCTGCGGATGCATGACTGAGCGCCTTCAGTTAGGTGAGTCTGTAGTGGCATTGGACAATAGCCACACAATCCACAAAGCTGTGAACACGAGACTACTCAGAAAATAGATATTCAATATTTAACGCGGAGAAATACCTAACAATGGAGAAGGCGCGAACAATAAATTGAATGGACTGGGTTTGATCTGATGGCATGGCTCGTCCATGCAGGCGTGGTCCATCTCAGTGTTACTGTATATCTTCTATTCATATTAAATATATTGTTCTTTCTCTAACCTAACCTTGTTCTACATCATGTATTGGTAATTGATACGATACAGTGAGTTGGTGTAGTCGATGATGTGACTTCCACGTAAGATCTTATAGATTAGGCAGTTATATCATGACAAATCTACAAATTTAGGATTAGGTCTATTATTAGAGCAGTACTAATATCATAGTAGACCATAATTCTACAAGTCCATTTAAACCAATGTGGTCAGCATCCAATGTTTAAAACTTACAGAGCTATTTATTTTGGAAATTTATTTACCGCTACAATGCGTTATAATTCTTTCTACTCAACCTGGTGATAATAATATGGATATTAAAAGTCAGCTACTTCTTTGTAGCCTTGATTGCTTCTGCATTAGCGTATGCATGGGTGCTCAATCCATCCAAAGGCTGACTAATTTATCCGCCTGGCTCTAAATAGGGAGTCACGCTTCGTCCGCTAGCCTTCTGCGCTTCGCTTAGCATCTGTCAATGTTCGTCAGAGTAAACGAACTTCTAAAACATTTGTGGATAATAGCCCGAAAAGCATGAATTAACCGATGTCGAAAAAAGCGAGAGCAATTCAAATTGGCGTGATATATTAGTAGACACTACAAAACCTATCCCAAGCATTGATCAATGCAAGTCTGCAACAGCAAACGCAAGTGCGAAATCGGTTCTGAAACCTAAAAACTAGTCCTAATGCCTAAAATTTTCGCGTGGTGTACCGTAAGTGCTCTGGAAGGGGAATCTCTCCTAAAAATCTATCTACAATACAAGCTGATGTAAAGAGGTGTAAAGGTTTTGATCATGGTTGCACAAACAAATAACCTTACCTTACTTATTTCAACCAGACCAAAAATGCTGTAGAGTTTTATAATTCACAACGAATTTCGAAGAACTATGGGAAGGTGACTGAGCTAGTAATAATCGTATGTCAGTTGAAATTCCTATAACGTTTACATAAACAGAACATCCTGTCATTTTGAAGAACGCAAGATGAATGTTGTGAAGCGAAATGTGTTCGATAACAAATTTAAAGGCAAATTTATACTAACGGTAAAACCCTAAAAATAATTTTTTTGTTGAGTTAACGTTTGTTTCAATGTACCATTTGGCTGTTTTATCAGTGTAAACTTTGTAGTACATATTTAATCCTACTTTCAGTGACAGGTATCTGGAAGTCTGTTATATTTTGTGGTGAGACTTTTTTAGTCATAATTTGCGCTAGATTTCTAACAAAACGTTTTGAGTTGCGTATTTTCATTTAGTGTACGCTGAAAGGTGGAGAGAATACAACCAAAATAGGTCCATTTTGTTCCAAAGTTAGGAGCATGCTTATCTTTATGGGGATTCTGATTTTGATAAGCTGCTACAGCTAAAACAGCTAATAAATACCCTAACACTTCCACAAGATTCATATCTCGCACGTGGTAGACAATAAAACTATGGACGACCTTGCCTTTTAAAACATCCCAGACAACCAAAAAAGGGAAAATAAAGGCGAATAAAAAGGAAAACGCACAAGAATGTCGCCTTTTTCGCCTGTCCGGGGAAAATAATGCGGTTTACCCCCTTTTTCGCCGTTTGGTCGATAAATTACTAGCTTTTCGCCTAAATATCCTCAGAATTGTCGAATTTCTGCTTAAATATCCGTAGAATTGTCGGATTTCTGCCTAAATATCCGCCAGATTATTGGATTTTCGCCTAAATATCCGCAGAATTGTCTACTTTTCGCCCACATATGTGGGCGATGGTAGTGACTTTGAGAAAACCTACCTGCCCACCAGAGTCGAATGGAGGTAACAAATAAGTATAGGGAATTTGGATTTGTACTTACGGTCAGCATTCAAGGTTACGAATTAAAGTAAGTTCTCCATCGCGAATTGATATCAGATATTATGCCAAAATGCTCTTTAACTATATGGGTGAGTATATTTCATGACAAAGTACAAGACTGGCCTCTTTGCTTACATTGGTTCGTCCACAAGTCATAATCTTGCTGATTTTAGGGGATACAAAAGACGCTTGTAATAATCTACCGAGTTACGGTCATTTTATGCAATCACTGTAATTCGTGGCAACAGTACATGATGGCACAGTTTCTCAAAGGCATTGAGTGGTGGATTTAGTCTCATCTCTACGAGTTGGTTGTTTAGTCCACTGACCAGGTATTAGAGAAAGGATCTTAACCTGAGTTCAACAAATAATAAATTTATTATTAATAGTTTACACTGATCAAAATATTCCAGATGCATCTGTGGTTTATCTTTCTATAAACCTGATCTTATTGTATATTCTTTCTTTCCTCTCGTCTGTGACCTTTGTCACAATTTTGCTTTGCTACATTAAGCTACTTGAACTGATATGTTGTCATGTGAAGCTTATCGTAGAACTTATTTCTCAGTTTTAGTTTACCCTTCCTTAATTTTATATTACCTCTATGGTGATTAGATAAAATAGTGTTATCTAAATCGTTATGTAGTAGATTGCTGTCGATAAATCTAAGCCTCTCTACATCAACGCGATATTATAATTTTAGGATTAGTTTCAGTTTGGGAAGGACAGGAGGCCTGATGGCCTGTGTTAGTCCTGGAAATGGTGGTCCCTCAGTTGATCCAACTTTTTTTTGAAAGAATCGACGAATGGAGCCTCAACCACGTGCTGAGGTAATGAGTTCCACTTGTTGATGATTCGATGGGAAAGTCGATAGTCCGCTGAAAAGTAATTTGTTCTTGGCTTTTGAACGTTTTTGAAGTGTCCTCGTAAATTCTCTGTTTTTGAAGACAAGAAAAATGAGGGCATATCAGGTGCTAGTTTGGCACTAAGCAATTTGAAAACTGTAATCAGGCCGCCTCTAGTTCTGCGATATGACAACGGGAGAAGGTTCAGCTTGGCCAGTCGAGCTTCATATGGAAGCTTCGCCATTCCGGGAATCAGCTTAGTTGCCGTTCTCTGAACCTTTTCCAGAAGCTCACTGTCTTTTTTTAAGCAGGGGCTGGCCGCTTGTGTCCAGTACTCAAGTTTAGGACGTACGAACACTGTATACAAAGTCAAAAACGTCCTAGCGTCGACATGACCAAAAGCCCTACGTATTGACCATAACGTTCTAAAACCTTTGGCGGCTATTGCACGGCAGTGTGCAGTAGTCTTTAAGTCTTGGCTAAGTCATTAAATGTCTGGACGACAGGTAGCTCAGTGTTATTCATCGTGTATGTATCTGTACCTTGATGACCGATATGCATCACAACACACTTGGAAGTATTTACCGGCAACTGCCAAGTTTGAGACCATTCAGATAATCGTCCTCTGTTTTAGGCATTGTTGGGTTACGTTTCTTGAAAAATAACAATGCTATTTAGGATAGAAGCGACATTTAACTGTCACACAATTATTTTGCTTTATGCCTGTTCAAACAAGTATAGGCTTGTGTGAACGTGTTTTATGAACTCGTGGTATAAATGTAAAATTGCTTAGCTAGATGAAATGAAGCTGCCACAATCTGTGGATTTACCAAACTATATTATCTAAGTATATGACAGATTAAAGCTTTTCTTATCTGTTTTGTTTACTACAAGTAAAACTCTTAAGTAAATTTTGACTTCCCAGGAACCTGGAAATTTCACAAATAAACGAATGTTAACAAAGAAGCTTCAGACTGTAAGATCATTTCCATCGGAAGTGAAGTAATATCAATTTTCTTAGAGTGCATCTTTACGAGATGATAGCAAGGATCATGGGTAATAATTTTTCAGAGCTGTCAATAACTATATTTAGTTGTAGATTTTCACGTTCAAACGCTCAATGCACCATTCAAGAAGAATGTGATCGTGTTTCATTGACCCGTACGACTAGTGTTAGATCCACGGTAGAGTTTCCTCCGAATATAGACGAGAAAGATCTAGAAATATTAGGTGAAATTGGAAGTGGAGCATATGGTAGAGCTTTAAAAGTAAGTTGGGCATTCGAATATTAACTGACTTCCATTACTAAGAAGATAGTTTGTGATTCTTGAAAGTAGCAAATTATCACTGATCGTTTTTGATATCTTAAAATAGCATTTTGCTGCATTATTATTATTATCATTGTTATTATTATAACCGTGTTTTCAATTACTGTTGATCAAATACATTGGGTGCTACTAAATGAAAATGTCAGTGCAAGATGTCAAACAAAGAATATTTTCGTGCATGTGCAGAGTCTAAAGAGAAATAGTTTACATCATTGCAGAAGTTTACTTACAACTTCAAATACCATATGTTAATTTGAGAGTCCTCATAAAGAGACATTGTATTACCTTACTAGATTGGTCTTATTTAGTGACGATTTGCTTATTAACGGCCTAAGGATTTTACCTATAACTAATTTGATTGTGGGTCGGAGTATTCACTGTTTTGAAGATGTCGCTAAATATTGTCATTTACTTTCACATGATAATTTACCACACAAACTGACATATAATTGCATAGTTTAACACGTGAGAGTTAAAAAAGTGAAACCTTGTGGTCATAAGAAGGCCTTAAACTGATGTGAATTTTGAGCGAGATGAATTTGTATACATGCATCTTATCATTCATTCAGCTTAGTTGTTTGTGTTTTTTCATTAAATGTGCTCTTGTCTTTCCGGTTGCCGAACTTTTGAAACAAGTTTTGAGGAAGCAACCTTGACACCATTTTATTGCATCTTCAAACACTACAACCGAGAAGTTAATCCAAATAGTCTGTTTTATTTAACTTATTTCAACTATTCATAAAACATTGCATTTAATACGTTATCGTTATTTATGCTAATAATGTAATCTGCCGCTCTCTTAGAAGAGCATATTGGTGAAACTTCTCAATTTTCATTAGTTTGTACTTGCAGGATTTCCCTGTTTAAGATAAAAGCTCTTCCTCATAGACGCAAAGTCCTTCCAGTTTATTACAAAGTACTTCTTTTCTGTCTGACGTAGTAATGTATATCCAAATAATTTCTCGAAGAATGCAAAGCTAAGTGAACATTGAACCGAAAATTCATAACGAGTAAGTCAATTCGAAAGTGAGATTGTACTAGCCTGGACACTATAGTTTGAGCTCATTCATATCGTAAGCCATAGGTGTACAATCCCGGAAAGTCGCAAACTTGAACAAACAACTTGTCTATCCTTCCATTCTTCTCGGTACTCCTCTAAATGATGCTAGTGTTGTGATAATAATAGGTTTAAATGTTTGACTGCGACAATCTACTGGCCGATAATTGTTTATACAGTAGGTAATAAAAATGACATATTATCCGAAGATTATCATAAAAACATGTCTCCTACTATTCTAAAAAACCTCATGATTGTGTGTTTGTATTTATTTATACGTGTGTTAACCGTGTTAATTTGCTTTTTCACCTCGTTCCATTTCAGGTAAAACACCGACAATCTAATTGTTTGTTGGTTCTTAAAGAGGTTATTGAACAAAACAAAGCAATCGAGGCAACTATTATACGCGAAGTAAGGAACATAATTCTATTTTTAAAAGTACGCGAAGGGATGAATTGTTTTTTCTGTTTAGCGTTTTCTTAGCGAGTTAGTTTTCTACGGGATGAGGTCACTAACCCCATATCCAACGCTCTTTTATCTCGGCTTGGGACCGTAGTTAGCCTCAGAGAGGTTACAGGCGGAGTTACGCGAAGGGACATAGTCTGTAATACATAAAAAATTGTTAGTTTATGATTGCTTTGAATTATCTATTTGGATCATTTGTTTATTTTTCAGCAATCTCTCAGCTTATCATACCATTTTCCATTTAAGTTTATGTTTGGATTATTAGTTTCGAGGGTTTTACAAAAATGTTTGTATATTTTGAAGATGATTCCCATTGAGAACTGATGCCATTTGAAGAGCAATTAAAACTCACAGATCACTAGTCCAATATTTCGTTCCATTGCAGGACTTCTTAGTGATGTAAACTCACGAACCAACACGGAAAAGGGTCCAACACAGTAATTTTCGACCATTGAGTAGAAATGGAGTGGTTCATAGTTTAAACTTTAGCTACGTTGTTTTGTGGCATTATCCTTATACGCTATCATCGGTAAGGTACTGTCTCACTTTCAACCTAATTCACTCATCAGATCACGTCATCCTAATAGAATTTCAAAGGACCCATCCTAATACTAGTTAGTAACTCTATGGTTATTATTGATTTTGTGTGCTTTAAGGAGAGTTTTTATAATCTCAAAGTGACCCTTAACACAAGCGTACTTCATTATGTTTTATTTATTCTTGCCAACTGCTCAGTTGCTATGCGTCCAGTTTACAATCAACATCAGACGTATTATGTGGGCTCTATCTAATTTGTCATACGGAAAGTATTCATAAAGTAATCTGTTATTGGAAATATTTACCAGTTTAAGCATTTCTTGTTTTTATCGCTGATTCTTGAAAATTCTTCTCATCCTTGCCAAACATTTATGCATATTGTACGTTTGAAGCAATCATTAGGAAATCATAAACCCAAACCTTTGTGTTCTAGTATTTTAGGCGATTCTTATTGTTTAGAATTTAGATCTGTTTCGTAAATTCTGGATCTTTATTTTGTGAGTGAGTTGCACAAACAAAGTCCCTACTTGTAACATTGGAAACATGCAACCCTAAATTAGGGTTCGTGAATAGCAAACTCACATAAACCTGGGTGGCTTCAAATCTGGATATCAAAGTGTCGATCAAATATTGACCGTTTGTCAGGTTTCAGAGCTAAGGCATACCTACTGATGTCCGACAGTAGTAATATTACTTGAGTTGAAGTTAGCATTCGACTTCGTAGACCAAAAGGCTTTATGACAATGTTTATCATTAGGTGTACAAAAAAAGTGCAAAGGCTTTGTGTAGGCTTATGGCGAACTATCTTTAAAACTGTCAGCTTCAAGCGCTTTTTGTCAGAGCTGCTCAGTGTCACCATTTCTATTCAGCTTCTCTGTAAGCATAGATACGGGTTCTTCATCTGACTTTTAAGGGACTGACATCTGGTCAGATGATTTATTTAGTGACTTAGAGTATGATTTTTACCTGGTCCATTTAGTGAAGGCACTTATTAGATGCAGTCCCTTAAGCGTCCTAAGCTGCAGTCCAAGCATATTTGGAGTTTCTCAATCTTTAAATTCCAAGTTTCTCAAGACTGCTCCGTGTCAACGCCTGAATTGGGGTTGTCTAAGTGAGTGAATCACTCAACTTATCGTAGAAGTTTCATCAGTCCCATTTGGATGGATCTGATGTAATCTCGACCCACGTCCAGAAAGCTCGGTTGACATTGTTTAACTGTGCTAGCTGCGCCGTAGGCAAGATGTCTGCCAACCAAAGAACCAGTATCCTACTCAACCATGCACTATGTTTTGCTATATGCTTGTGAAACATAACCTTTAGAAGAAGAGAGCGTGGACTGGTTGCTAGTATCAAATCATAGATATCTCCAGAGCATTACTCGCATGTGTTGGGAACATAGAGTGAGCTTTATCTAGGTTAGACAGGTGGTACTAGACGAAAATGATTAATCTATTAATAAGTTTATGAATTTTCACCAAATAAGGACCCACTACACGTTTGACCAACTACAACCTACCTCAACACTTGATACTCGCTGGAGTAGAAGTATATTGTATATTGTTTGAGATCGATTGACTGACTGGTAGTAGAATGAAACATACAAATCAGTTATAGAGCAGTGATTGAATGTATCTTTCTATATGATAACTTGCTAAATGAATTGCAAATATATGTGGCGTTTTAGTATTCACACGTTAAACTATTTATATAATGAAAGTTCACACTTTGAAGCATTTTACACAATCTCTGTAACTTCAATTGTTTTCCAATGATAATATGAATGATACAAAATTAGTTATTGAATAGTATATACAGGTTGAAAACTCTTACTTCTTTGATACATGTAACTTTGTAAGTTTCTCAATATTTCCAAGTTAACAGAATTTTCCATATGTAACATATTCAGTCACATGCAATTAGATTATGTAGTAATTTATATTTCTATAGATATGTATGCTAATTATTGTTAGAATGATAATAGAAACTTCTAATTAAATAAAACTCTATAATACACCTTAGTCAATCAATCTTAGTGATCTTTATGATATTTTAAGGTCAATGTAGATATTATGCATTTCAGTATGAATACAATCCCCGGCAAAACATCACATATTCTGCTCATTTATGTTTCTAAATTATTCTGTCTTATTATTTTGGTTGGTTTAACACTAATCGTTAACACAAAATAATACTAATAATAAGTATAATTGATGTATAGAAATTTAAACTAAAACTATAGTAAATCTACGTCGGTCAAAACAATCACCTAGTGTCGTTAGTCATTTCTACTAAAACTATGGCTGAAATTTGAGTATACTAATTTGTATTTGGTGAGAATTTCAATAGAATCAACTACATTCTAATATAATCTTATTTTATGATGTTCTGTTTTAAACTGATACATAACTTCATCAATGATTATTGTCCCTAACAATTCGTGAAGTTATATAACTGTATCAGAACCCTTTGAAATAAAATCATTGCTTTAAATCATTTCATTGTATAGATTGATACGCATCTAAAATGGATCATGGTAATGTATGTATTGATATAAAAATTCTTAGATCAATCTGAAACATACTCTAATATTTAATAATAGATCAGTGGCTGAAGACAAGAAAAGACTGTGAACAAACGTAAGTCAGTCAATCAGCTACAACGTAGGACCAGGCACATATATGCATCGGTCCAAGTTGCCATACCTCATTAACACAGCAAGATGGACATCGGATTTATAAAAGTAGTTAATTCAGAGGTGGTAATATATAAAAGAAAGATTTCAATAAGGATATAATACAGGAAGAAAGAATTAGTTGATAGAAAGAGAGATAGAAAGCAATTTTAATCTCATAGTTTAAGGAAAGACAGAGAGTGTATACACCTGAACCGTGTCACCCAGAGTCTCCAACCATTGATTACGATAGCTACGCGGACCCCAACCAAGTAGTCTGCATCTACCAACATGGCTAAGACTAAAAGTTAGTGACTCCAAGCACTGATGCCACGTTTTGGTTTGGCCGCCACTAACTTTCTTCCAACCATCCCGAACGCCGGTTAGCATTGCACGTCGTGGTAATCGGTTTTCGGGCATACGTAACACGTGGCCCAACCATCTCAGCCAATGAAGATTCACAACTTCATCAACTGATTTACCATCATTTCCTAATACCCTGCGTCTAACTTCACTATTACTTACCCGTTGGTCGCAGCAGACGCCAGCAATATTTCTGAGGCATCTGTGGTCAAATACTAATAGCTTACGAGTGTCTTCTACTCTTAGTGGCCATGTTTCGCTGCCGTAAATTAAAACAGAACGGACTGCCGCGTAGTATGCTCGTCCTTTTATTGATAGACGGATATCTCACCTTCGCCATAGGTGACGTAACAAACGTAAACGTATTGTGTTATAATTAAGAAAAAAATAAAACGTTTACTTATATATTAAGCGTTTATCAATCGATACAAAGATTACAGTATCGTACGGAAACGGTTGTGTTCAATTCTAAAGTCTTAATATTGTCTCATAATTCTTATTCTTCAGTTTCACTATCTGTTTTTATTTGCGAAATATTTGCTCTTTACGCATTTTATTATTATTATTATTATTATTATTATTATTATTATTTGAACACATAAATATTGGTACAAGAGTGCGCCAAATGTATATGCACCACACAAAACAATGAGAATTTAAAGAGAAGGAAAAAGAAAAAAAGGTAAGGAGCTTAAAAAAAAGAGAACAATAACGAACGGATTGGTGTAAGGTAGTGTAATAATAATAATAATAATAATAGTAATAATGGGGGAACGGAAAGGTACAACCAGAAGAAATCTTTCAGTTAAGGAAGATACAACCACTTTTTACGAAGAAAGTGAAATAAGGTTACATCAGGATCGCCACAGGCTTCTATTCTGAGCCATATCTGATAACATCTCTAGCTACTGTGTAGCACCATCTCTCGGACTTATACAGCAGCTCGTCTATGGTGGAAATTCGACTCTGTCTAAACGTTCCTTACGTATAGTTTTTATCCATCATTCATACGACCATAATATCAACTCTTGACTTTCACCTTAGTAATTTTCTCCACTCACACTCTATTGACATATGAACTAAATCAATATAAACTAATTTAATTTAGTACTAGTCCTTCCATATCGTTACCAAGATATTTAGCAATTTCAAACAAAATATCTATCATTATTTTATTGATTTATCTTATTATCATATTTTTACTTACTTACTTACTCTAGTTACTCCTAGTGGAGCATAGGCCGACGACCAGCATTCTCCAACCCACTTTGTCCTGGGCCTCCTTTTCTAGTAACAGTATGGAAGGACTAGTATCATATTTTTACCCTTCATTTAAACAATTATCTTTTTTTAATATTTTGTTACAGGTTTCATTACTTCAGAATTTAAAACATACAAATATTTTAACAATTGTCGGTGTGGTTATTCGAAATAGACAGTTTTGTCTTATTACTGAATATATTGAAAAAGGAAGTTTACATTCATTATGCTTGGATAAAATTAAATATCCATTTAATTGGATTAAAATAATAACATTTGGTCGTGATATTGCATCAGGGATGGTAAGTTTAATTGTTTTGTTTTTTTTCTTTCAAAATATTTTTTGTTTTATATAGAAAGCTCTTTTGGCTTTTGCCAGCGTACGTCACGTACGAAAGCGAGATATCAGCACGGCAATTCACTCTGTTCTACTTTAAGGTTGCAAATGTGGCCATTAAGAGTAGAAAATATTCGTAAGCTACTATTATTTTACCATAGATGCCTTAGAACTATTGCTCACATCTGCTGGGATCACCAGGTAAGTAATAGTGAAGTTAGACGCAGGGTATTAGGAAATGATGGTAAATCAGTTGATGAAGTTGTGAATCTTCATTGGCTGAGATGGTTGGGCCACGTGTTACGTATGCCCGAAAACCGATTACCACGACGTGCAATGCTAACCGGCGTTCGGGATGGTTGGAAGAAAGTTAGTGGCGGCCAAACCAAAACGTGGCATCAGTGCTTGGAGTCACTAACTTTTAGTCTTAGCCATGTTGGTAGATGCAGACTACTTGGTTGGGGTCCGCGTAGCTATCGTAATCAATGGTTGGAGACTCTGGGTGACATGGTTCAGGTGTATACACTCTCTGTCTTTCCTTAAACTATGAGATTAAAATTGCTTTCTATCTTTCTTTCTATCAAGTAATTCTTTCTTCCTGTACTATATTCTTATATGCAATCTTTCTTTTGTATACTACTACGATTGAATTAACTACTTCTATGAATTCGGTATTCATCTTGTTGTGATATTGAGGTATGACAAATTAGACCGATACATATATGTGCTTGGTCCTACGTTGTAGCTTATTATTGTTATTAAGGTGTAATTATTGTGATTAAAATAAATAAACAGACTATTTGATAAATCTAGATAATGCGTTAAGAAGATGAACTTTATTAGAACTATGTGATATATCAGAGTAGTATATTTCAAACAGTCTGGTCATATATTTGTTTGTTAATCAATTTATAAATGACGCCTTATTTTGTTTGAATAATAAGATTTATTGTGTATCGTATACAGAGGCTAACGTAATGTTTTTTTACATGTGTTTAGGCAACTCGAAATATGTGAACTGGTTACCCTGTCTACGGTTATTAATTAGATTAAATTATCAATAATCTGTCGAAACTAATATCTAGGTCAATAAAATCCTTGCTTACAATTCATAAATGGATCTAAGGAAAATTCCGTTCTGTTTCTATCCTGATAAGTCTGCCAGAGACATGAAAAACAATTATGCGATGTTCTTAAATGATTGGTTCCGTTTATAATAAATAATCAGTATAATGTTGACAGTTTAAAAGATTTTTCCAAGGTCATTATCATCATAAAGAAAATATACTGTAGAACATTATTTTATTGCAAGTAAATATTTTGTAATATACCATGTTTCTGAAGCTTGTGGAACAATCAATGGAATGAAATTCATCGCTCTATATCAACACTGACTACGAGAAAGCGTTTGATAGCGTGGACAGGACAACATTATGGAAGCTTCTTCGACACTACAGCGTTTCTCAGAAGATAGTTAATATCATACGGAATTCCTGTGATGAATTAAACCGTAAAATCATGCACGGAGGACAACTGACAGACTCGTTCGAGGTAAAGACCGGTGTAATGCAAGGTTGCTTACTCAACCTTCCTCTTTCTCCTGGTGATCGACTGGATCATGAAGACGTCAACATCTGAGGGAAAGCATGGGATACAGTGGACAGCTAGGATGCAGCTGGACGATCTAGACTTCGCATATAATCTGGCTCTCCTATTTTGCACACTCAACAACAAATGAAGAAGAGAACCAGTGTAGCAGCAGCCTCAGCAGCAGTAGGTCTCAACATACACAAAGGGAAAAGCAAGATTTTCCGATACAACACAGCATGCATCAATCCAATCACAATTGACGGAGAAGATTTGGAAGATGTAAAAACCTTTACATATTTGGGCAGCATCATTGATGAACAGGGTGGATCTGACGCAGATGTGAAAGCGCGGTCAGCAAAGCAAAAGCGGCATATTTACAACTGAAGAACATCTGGAACTCAAAACAACTGTCTGTCAACCAACATCAAAGTCAGAATTTTCAATACAAATGTCAAAACAGTTCTACTGTATGGGGTGGAAACTTGGAGAACTACGAAAGCCATCATCCAGAAGATACAGGTGTTTATTAACAGTTGTCTATGCAAGATACTTTGGATACGTTGGCCAGACACTATAAGCAACAACGTACTGTGGGAGAGAACAAACCAGATCCCAGCGGAGGAAGAAATCAGGAAGAATCGCTGGAAGTGGATAGGACACACATTGAGGAAAGCACTCAACTGCATCAAAATGCAAGTCTTCACTTGGAATCGTCAAGGCCAAAGGAGAAAGAGTAAGACCAAAGAACACATTACGTCGAGAAATGGAGATAGTCATGAGAAAAATGAACAAAAATAGGATAGAACTAGAAAAAAGTTCCATGACAGGGTTGAGTTGGAGAATGCTGGTCGGTGAGTAATGTTTCTGAACCATGAAAATATTAAATAATGCAACAGTTTACATTACTTGTAAATAAAATACCAAAAAATTATTTATTCTTTGTGAATTAACACGATTTGTATTTTTATTATTGCGACTTTTAGGCTTATTTACATAAACATGACGTTATACATCGGGATTTAACAACTCTTAATTGTCTTGTACGACAAGTAAGCTAATTAAACATTATTTATAAACATCATTCATTGTGTTAACGATTTGAAACGTTATTAGTATTCTTCAAATTTCTTTTCTTAAAAGAAACGATTCTTTCAACAACAAAAATATAATTGAAACCAAACAAGATTGAGGTAGATAACGTCAAACTGTTTTAATCGAATCATTTAGTAATGAGGGTTCAAATAAATGTTAGTTTGAAATGTTTAATTCGAAACTAGTAGGAATGTACGTCAGTTTTGGGATCATAATGAAATTAATGGCTGGTGAACCTAATTTCTACTACATTTTTTGGCGTTGCTACAGTACTCTTAGATCAAATTGCATGGTCAGTAAAACTACTAACTTTGTTTTGATGTTAAGTGGCTGGAATTAGTCGGCTGAGGACTACGGACTTGGATTTCGTGCCATCTGGCGCTTATAAACAACCTGTACCTCTAACTTCTAGGTAGCTAATTGTCCTTGTGGGATTCGAGGCTGCATCAACCAGCATCATAGTTTAAAACGGTATCGTTCAGCTATTCGAGTGGTGACTGACCTCCTGTAGAATTAAAATATTTGCAGTGATTAATCACAGTAGTGACTGAAGTCACGATGACCACATTGCAACTTGATCAGTATGATTTGACCAGCACTCAGGACTAGATAGCCATGAGATATGCTACTACTCAGTGGTTCATCAATATATTAGTTTCGTTTTGAGCATCTGTGCAGCTTCAAAACCTTCATATAAATCATGAATATTACAATGGAAAAAAATGTATGAACCGTTATCTTCACAAGTAAACATCCACAAAATATTGCAGCTTTAATAACTATTTAAGCCCAAGTACTTTGTACCAGCTGAAATCTCTGCGTTTTATATTGCTATTTGATCTATACTCCATAACTAATTTTTAATCTTCAACTTATGTGTAGTCGATTGTTATTGTTAAATTTTCTGTCCTTTACTTTATAAGAGGAATTTTAAGACTTACGTGTACCATTGGAGCATACCACTTTGATGCTGTAAATAAGAGTACAGTAAATTTTAATGAAATCTCCCACAATGAGAAATGGAAGCCGCTAAAACCGATGCACCGTATAACATTTCACATTTATGGCCACTGTGCACTCAGAAATTACTTGGATACCACTTCCTTAGAATATCAGGATTGGAATCCAGGACTTTCTTCTCGTCCTACATAGGACCCATCATCTAGATATACCTCCATCCCATTGTTTGATGTTCTTCACAATGGGACTCGAACCCAATCCTTTTTACTTCATACCTCAACGAGTTATCTGCTGACAGCTATTCTGTTCAGTTAGCCACCAACTTGTTCAACAGGCACGTTGTCTTATGCTATTGGTAAAAGTCTTGTTTCATTGTTGATGATCATGGCTGAATTTTGATCAGTCTTTGTTGGTATATATGTACCCTGAAAGGATTACATTGGTCTAACCATTTTTTTATGACAACTGTATAATATAATCCCTTAATAGTTATAATATAAAACAATTGTCACTTTATTTAAACTAATTATCGAGGTTTTTCCCACACAAAAAAACATAACCAAAATTCTTTGTTCTTCTGTCACCTACTAAAGTCTGCAATAAGTTGGTCCCGAAAGTTTTATTCATCATAATATCATTCATTTGATGTTTTTCTGACTAATTAGTCTTATGAATTGATTGTTTTTTTTAACTAAATTGATTGTTGAAAAGAATTAAAAGTGTTCTAGAAAGTTTTCTTATTTTCTTTTCATTAGGATGACTCTGTTGTTGTGTCTGATTTCGGATTGTCAAAATTAGTTCAGTCAATTCCGTCTTGTAGACAGAAAACAGAAGAAAAATGCTACGATCACACAACAACAAATGACTCTACATCAATAATTCAAGATTCTTCTTCTGATACTTCAAATAACACCGATGTTCAGCCTAATCATACTCCTCGTCTTAGACGTCATCATGCATACAATCATCCAAGAAGACATACTGTAGTAAGTGAAATGATTGTTAAGCATTAAAAATTCAGTATCTATTAGTTTCAAGTAGTTTCACTCAACCATATGAAATAATTTCAGTTATCCTAGGGTATTCTTTGACGTTACTTAATATGTGTGTTTCGTTAGATTGTGGTTGGAGGTAGTCGTCAGGACACCCTGGACCCGGGTTTCGTGCTACTTGGCTGGTAGTCACATTGCAATATGGTCGATAGCATTCGATCTGCACTAATAAGGACTAGACACGCATGATATTGATCGCCACCCAGTGATCAATCAATTGTGATGTGTGTTTCATATCATAAACTGTTTCTTATCCCTTAGTCAAAGCAGTTTTAAAGCTTAAATCAGTTGTATCCTATATCATGTACAATTTGGAAAACCAAAACTAAAGTTTACACAACGCAAACAAAAATGATAATCACTAATGATAGATAATAATTTTATATCACCCTCTAAAACACACAGCGATTAAACATACTCATTTATACATAGACTTCACTGGAAAACAATGATTAGTCAATAATGAATATCCATATACAACTGAAGATAATGGAAATATGTATTAATAAGTGGATTTTACTCTGACTCAAAAACAAAATGAATTCTGGATATTATATTGAACAAATATCACACTAAATCTAATATAAAACTCTTTTATATTGAATAAATATTACACTGAAATAAAACAAATATGGTAAGACTATAATTTTTGGACGAGCTAATTAGATTTAAAATGTCAGGTCTCGGACCTGTGCGCGAAATCCATTCACCTATATGACAAAATAGGACTCAGTTCGTCTGAGTGTGTCGTGGTCAGTAATTACGGTTATTATGTCGTTTACTCAGTTACTCAATTGTGGATATGTTGGGGTAATTTATATTTTAGGATAAATTGGAGATATGGTTTTTGCTATGTTGTAATTTTTTTTCCATCATGACTTGAGTGCACTACACTTGACACTATAGAATAGTATTTTCGTCGTAGAAAACTTTATATTTTTCATGTAAGCGACTAACAACGACAGAGAAAGAAACATACCTTCCATCTTGGTTGACGATAGTGCAGATAATGATTACCACTTCATTTTGGTTGGTTGCCAGGTGCATGGTCAAAATTGCGAACGAAAGTGGAGTCTATCCTAACGTTTTAGCACTATGTCTGATATCATTTCGTGATGATAACTTCAATTCCTAACTCTAAATCCCGATCCTAATTTCTCACACGAATTTATGGCCTTCTTCCGATCGTAGTAGGTAGGTGGATTTTCTCGAGGTCACTTTAATATCTTTCCAGGGTCGTACATAAATCAAAGTCTCACCACAAATATACTGGACAAAAATATACCATTTTAAATATACTGAATTATGATGTGATCTCGAATTTTATACCATTTTAACAATAACTTCATGACACAGTGTGTTTCTGATGTGTGGGCGAGAATGATAATGATTGGTTGTCTGCTTAGTCAGACATGTAGATAGTCTGATAGGTGTCAGACGAGTTATATATTCCCCTATCCTTATTATCATTACTCACTTATTATTGATTGTTCATTGTTGTTTGATTGTGTCGGGTTTTTGGTGTGGAAATATATTTACGTTGTGGTCAGGCTAATCACGTGTTCTTGATCTGAGCCATGTTGATATCCTTTAGAATAGACACTGGGAGGGAATATAATGTAGATATTCGTCTAAGGTAATTTACGTCCCATTCGTGTAAAAGTGGAAACCCAACCGTTATAACATTAGACAAACTAAAACCGAGCTTTACAACAGTTTCTAGTAAATAGAATATGCTCATTGAGACATAAAATAAGAAAGATTAGTTCAGTGGAGAGTTCTGTTTTCGGCAAATATATACGTACTTCTACAGTATGATAATAATCACAATAATATTGGCAATAAAATTCTGTTGAATATAGTGAACAAGTACACGAGTTGGAACAGTTTAGTGTATTTGATACGAAATTACAGAGCATCTCAATAAAATCTGAGAATCATATAGTAGATAGTTTGTGGGGCCCGTTATTTTTGTCGTCATTTAGATCGGACGATGTTGTCGAAAGGGCTCTCCACTTTAGTGGCTTGAGATCTGACTACAATTAGATCGTATGAATGTTTGTTATCGCCTATCCTCGTATATAGTCATCGACCTAAATTGTGTTAATCAATAACGGAATTAAATAAGTCGAATAACGAGAATGGACTTGTGAATACTTATATTTTGTATATAAAGCGAATGGAATAGAGAGAAGAGAAACAATGCAGAGTGGAGATGGCTGGTAAGCCAACTCCCATTTAACCAAGCATTAATCAATATACTTATGGTTACACAAAATTAAGTTACAGACATGTGATGAGTAATGGGATAAGAAATGTACACACACCTACGCGCTCATATAAAAACAGCCAAGATTGATGATAAGCGAATAAATAACAAGGTCGGAATGTGACTCAAGTAGAATGAATGAAATGGTCTGTTCGAAACGAAGAATAAGGTATATGGGCTTAACATAATAACTGACACTATAAGTTAATTTACAAAATATCAATCCATCGTCTCAAACTTGACTGTTCCTTTTGTAAATATCAGTCCATTGTCTCAGATTTCATCGTTCATGCATTTTCATACCAATTGCGTTCCGTTCCCGTTCTTTCCTTATCAATCTTCTACTGAAATACATTCTATGCCTGACCATCTATGTGGATATAAGTAACCCACACCACAGTAACAGTAAGGTAGAATAAACAAAGGTATTAAAACACTTTTTTTCAGGGAAACTAATAGTCTATTTCACTGTTTCTAAAATCACTTTTGTTAGCCATAAGATCATCCAATTCTACAAATACACTACACTTATACAAAAGTCCATTTTTAATGAACTTGTTTCGACTAATCCAATATTAGTTAAATAATATAATTTATTTTTACCAAATATTTCATATGCCCAGCTGCAAATCACGCTATATGTGAAGACTATTAATATTACTGTGGTGTATATTACTTATATCTGTCGACATAAGTAGTACGTAACACCGAAAGTGGAAAACCTGGTAACTGAAGGCTAAAAAGATCGAGTTGAAGAGAATAAAAGGAAAATTGAAAGGAATTGTGAACTGGAAGAATTATACGGAATGTGAAAGACAAATGATGGGAATTCTCAAATGAAGTATTCAGTGTACGATTCTTATATTTCAGCAAGATACTTTGTAATTTGGTTTGTCCTCAACTAAATTCTTGTTCACCACACCATTATCACATCTGCCTAAACCCACTTAGGTTCAGACCAACGACATAACCTTGGATAGTTTTGTCCCTAAACCCATGATTTATACTGGTCTTAAATAAAAAATGTCTGAGTTTAAATGCAGATTACTAGGTAAAGCTAGTCAACCAATCGATGAGCAGTAAACATTCAGCGATTAAAGTGATTAGGATATGTATTGCGTATACCCAACCACTGTCTACCTTCACGAACAATATTATAGGAGTCGTTGGAAGAAAGCTAAAAGCAACCAAACCAAGATATAACATCAGTACATAAAGTTATTGACTGTTGGACTGAGCTGTTTGAATAGATGTAGGCTCCCTTGTTAGGATCCGCGCGATTATCGTAACCATTGATTAGATACATTGAGTGACATTAACCAAAACCAGCCATATATATTCCACTCTTTTTTTAAATATTCATAATTTCTATTGGTCAGTTTTATTCTTTCTTTAATCATATTGGCTATATGTAAAAATTTTCCGCTATTGCTATTTCTACTAGTTTGATGATATAATATTCCTGTATTGATATGGTATGTGAATTTGAACCGATACATATATGTGCCAGCCTGTATAACTCACTGAAATAATAAAGTTCTTGTGTTTTAAAAATCCTTTTCTGTATATAACTTTTGTTTCCCTCTTTCTCACGATTAATTATAAAAAGGTTGGTAGTCCATACTGGATGGCTCCAGAAATGATAGTTGGTCAACCATATGATAATTCAGTGGATGTATATTCATTTGGTACAATTATGTGTCAATTAATTTTACGTACAAATGCTGATCCAGATAACTTAATACGTGATGCAAAAACTTTCTGTATAGAAATGGATGAATTAATGAAACTAGAAAATTTTCCGATCAATACACCACCAATATTATTAAACATGACAAGTCAATGCGTTTCATTGGATCCAAGAAATAGGTAGAATTTTTGCTTCAAATTTATTCATAATTTCATTTATATATTAAATAAAGACGATCAGTTATGTGGATCAAGTTTACATCAAGAAAAACAGTTTTATAAAATACACAAATGATTCCTTACACCAACGTAGCATATACTTAACTTACTTGCCATGTTCAAGTTAATGTCCTCGACCTTAAGCCACATCAGTTGATGTGATGTTTAGCCACACTTGTATCTCTGGTGAATTTGAAGTAATTGGCTTATGTGTAGTGAATGGCCACATGTCAAGCCCACATAGGTTATTCTCATTTCTGTACACAGACTAATTTACTCATTTTTCTCAAGCTACATTTTGACCTTGTAACTTATCAGCCCTCTGTTTTCATGTGAGCGCATATATATGCATCACTTATCCTAATCATCACATTTCTGTAGCTTATTTTTGTGTAACTATAATTATCGATCAAGGCTTGGTGACATCATTTCGGCTCACTCACCTTCCTCGCTGCGTATCATGTTGTTTTATTTCACTTTCCGATTAATGATTGTACAAAATATACATATTAGAAAATCCATTCTCATATTTGACTTATTTAGTTTTGTTATTCACCAACGCGATTTAAGTCGATAATTATATACGAGGACTGGCGACATGTGTATTTCGATAACAATCAGCAACGACCTATCTGGAATCAAATACCCGGCCACTAAACACGTTTTGAATCTGAAACCGCTTAGCTGAGAGATGAGTACTTTTACGTCGTCATATGTTACCACTTCACTTTCACATATTTACTGATTGGTAATTTTTGGCGAGACTATAATTTATGGACGAACTAGTCACGTATAAAATAACAGGTCTCCAATTTTGACGCGAAATTCACTCATCCATTTGGATTAATGGAGTTTTGGCATTATAGCTGACGTCAGTTCGTGATGAAAAACCGAGATTTAATTCCTAACCTTGATCATCAACTACCAACCATAATTCTGATTCCTAACACCGGTTTTTAAACCTCATTTGATCCTAGTTATTAGGTGGACACTCTCAAGTTCAGTTTAGCGTCGCCCGAAGATAGTTCATAAATTATAGTCTCACCTAATGTTTTGTTTATTAGAGTTTGTAATTTACTCCCTCTCAACGAAAAAATACCTTAAAACTTTCTCTCTATTTTGATGATTGGGAAATCAATATACTGTCAAATATCAGCCAGCTTTGAGATATAGCTCAACAGTTATCATATGGCCACTATTGAATAATTGCTTCACAACTGATATAGTTGAATTTTAGCGGTCATAGTATCCATGTTTTCTCCACAGTATATTACTATGTTTAACTTATTATCAACCCGAAACAGTTGAAACTCTTCTTCAAAAGAAGTGAGCTACTAGAATTTCTTCACAATGGACTCAGAACATGCTAACAATAACCACACAACTAGGGACACCAACCGAGAAATCCCGGGTCAATAAAATAAGTTACTAGTTTTTGAGATGGTGGAGAAGATTTCTAGCTCAGGTGGATGATGTATAACCAACACACTAAGTATAGTGTAAATGCACAGAATGTGCAAATCGTCAAACAAGTAGCAGCTTACAACCATTCATTCTCACTTTGCTTATGCAGTTTTAGCATTAATCCATGGTGTTTTCATTTTTGACCCTGTTCACAAGATAAATAATGAAGCACATCAATTAACTGTTAATCTTTCCTCCTCCAATATGTTTTCTTTGCTGTTACAGGACTACTTTTTAATTTCTCATAAAAATCTTAAATACGCATTAATCCTGATTGGTTTATCTATAAAAGTGACAGTTCATCAAAACATATTAAACCATTAGATCCTAAAATACAATAACCAAGCGCACTTCAAAACAAATTTATGCCCGTTGAACAAGTTAGTAGTTTAATGGACTGAGTAGCTTAATGGATAATGCGTTGGAATCTGAAGCGAATTCGCATTCGGGTCTCAGTGTGAAGAACACCAATACAGCAATGCAGGTACATCTAGCTAACGAGTCGTAAATAGGACAAAATATGAGTCTTCGATTCCGCTGCTATCCATAACTAAACATTAATTAATACTCTTGTTTAAATTGAAGATCATCCAGGATGAACTTATGTCACAATCCAACTTGACAAAAACAATTAACTTTGTATATTAATAATGGAAGTAATTTTCTTCTATATTTCAGACCTTGTTTCGATTCATGTGTTGGGCTACTGGAACAATGTTTATTATACTTATTATCTGGACATCAATCAAAACAGATTATAGTTGGAAATTCTGCTAAAGACATTACCACAGTTGATGACAACAATACAGAGAGGTGAGATTCTGATTATCAGAATCTTGATGTTAATAAATATTGATCAATAGTACATATATATCCTTGTATACATATTTGTAAATTTTCTTTTTAGTTAACTAACTTGGTTATATTTTCCACTTGATCATATCATAGCTATAAATCTCAACTCGAATGAAATGATGTCTTTATGCGTACCCTACTGTTGTATGAATTTTCATTATCCGAATATTATATTTCTATGTTATTACACGAAGAAATAAATCTCTATTTTTATGTGAAATTAAGTTTGGTATTCTGTTTCCCTGTTACTAATCCATTCCTTATTTTTTTTATCGGTTATGACTTATATTGAATTGATAAATAAAATGAGATTACAACTCTTCAACCACTTAAATGTAATCATTATATTTTTCTGTATTGGTGTTTGGAGCCATTTGATAAAGAAATAGGACTGATTATTTTATTTTGATTTTATTGAATTCTCTAAGCTTAATGGTTGAATTGTAAAGCTTTCGTTGTTGTTCTGGACAACATGTTCAGTGTCTTGTTGACGTAAAAATGCCTTGTTTAATTACTATTCTACAAGCGTTTAATCAGTCTATGCTGACGAATTTATCTGTGACTATTTGTCTTCGTAGTTTTGTTAACTTTTGGTTTGTATTTTTATTTGATTGGTCGCTTTCCACGTAACTGGTTGTCTGTTTCCGTATAGATTTGTAGAATAAGTCTATATAGATACAGTTATTGGTTATTTTTTGTCATGATTTCAGAAATTTTCTATCATTCTTTGAATTTCCATGTTTCAGAATTAGTTTCTGCATTAATCTATTCAGCTCTTCTTTTATCAAGTATTTCATAATTTAAAAATAATACCTCGCTTTTACATTATGAATAGCTTTGTAGAGGATACTTTTCTTTTGAAGTTAAACCGCTGAGGATTTATATTAAAAACTACCTGTTCTCCTGATAGTAATATTCAGAACTTGAGGCATCCAGTACATTTTACCATTGGACTGGAGATCTACCATAATTATCTCGATCCACAAAATAGGATTCAAGCGACACAAATCGATTCGTTGACCATTTTGTTGTAAAAACGTTGATAAGAATTATTAAGACCATTATCTTTTTGTAATCTAACTTCTTGTTGATCAATACACAATCAACTCTCCACCATCAAGAGAGAGCTGGGAGCAGTCTTTAGATAAGAGGAAGCCAGGGAGTTTAACTTACATTGACTTTATTAAGTCATTTGACAATCTCACATTTTTGGCTTTTATTGAAATTCTGAAAACGGAAATTTACCTAAGATTCCCTTATTGGTCAGGAAAGTAGAGTAAAAAATTTTCAGTTTCCCCTTGGAATCCGGCATTCAGGCGCATGTTACAAGTAGCAGTAAAATGTCTACTGCTCTTTATGTTGATATATCGGACGGAAGTGTTGGATTACTGGTTGCTATGTAACATTTTTCGCCAAGCCAACTAAATTAGTTAAATATTTTGTAAGATGACAGCTTCTATTTACCAGTTGTATCAGGTCATGTGAAGACCAGTGTATCGGTCTTTTAGTTTGGATTTATATATTGATTTCCTGATATAAATTACTAATCTGATCACCTCAGTCACCTGATTAATTTTGTTAACCGTTTTTGGTAAGTAATGGGTTGGTGGAGTGTTTAATCTCATAGCATCACGAAATAACCGTTGAGAACCAGGAAGCACTGGACAGTAATCCCGTCCTCCTGTGAGACTCCTCGGCATTGCGTATCTACAAACGTACTGGGGATTGAACCCCAGATCTCCAAATCTCGTAACGAGCAATTACACCAGATGAGACAGCGACTGTTCAGATTTACTTCTAGTTTATTATTGTTACTCAAACTATAGATACCGTATAATTTGCGGTATTGATTTTTTCCTACACTAATCAACTTACATCAAGTGTCAGCATTTCTTTAATATGTTGATTTTATTCTATTTATACATACAATGACTCGGAACAAATTGACGTAAATTGGCAGAGTGGATTATATATATATATATATATATATATATATATTGTAGCCTTGCGCATTCCATTCTACCATAGTTCACATCAATTTGTTCCGAGTTATTGTGTCGTTGTTTCTTGAGTGGTTTTTAACAGTTTTATATTTAAATTGTAACCATGTGACTCATTCATGTACTATTAGTACTGTATATTAAATACCTGAATAAAACAGCATGTATTTGTCTTGATGGCGTAGAGAAGGAAAACCATATGACGTGAAAATTGTTTATTGGTGTAATTCTCAATACATAACGACTGTGAATCAATTGTATAGGTTTAACTATAGCTGCTGCCTTGACGTAGTGATCGAGGTTGTGTATTATGACAACTTAGTCGACCTACATTAGCTAGAACAGTTGTTTTCCTAGGTTTTACAATGACAGATAGGTCGGCTGGAGGACAGTAAGTCAGTCAGCTACAACGTAGCACCAAGCACATATATGCATCGGTCCAGGTTGCCATACCGCATCAGCTCAACGAAATGAACACCGGATTCATAGCAGTGGTTAGGTCAAAGGTGGTAATATATAAGAGAAAGATTGCATATAGAGATATAGTACAAGAAGAAAGAATTGGTTCGTAGAAAGAAAGATATGGAGTGATTTTAATCTCTTAGTAAGAGTAGAGGATATCCGTAGGCTACTAGTATTTGATCATAGGTGTCTTCGAAACATTGCTCGTATATCATGGGACCATCGAGTAAGTAACACAGTTGTTAGGAAACGGGTACTAGGTAAGGATGGCAAATCAATTGATGAAGTAGTGAAACTTCATCAGTTGAGATGGCTGAGACACGTGTTACGTATGCCCAACGACCGACTGCCTCTATGTGCCATGTTCAGTGGTATAGGAGTAGGTTGGAAGCTAGGGGCGGCCTAACCAAAACATGGCACAAGTCCATGAAGTCACTGACAAGTGGACTGAGCCATGTTGGTAGGTGTAGACTACCTGGTTGGGGACCGCGAGATGATAGCAACCGATGGTTAGAGACCCTGAATGACATGGCTCAAAATCGTTTGCAATGGCGCAGGTGCATACACTCTCTCTGTTCTCCCAAATTCTAATCTTCTGAATTCTTCATGTCCCTTTTTTCCTCTTTCCAAATTTATTTCACTGGATTATACTCTTTAAATAACATCTCCAAACCCTAATCTTCCCGATTACTGCTTATAATCTTATTACCTCTACCACTATGGGATTTGAATCGACAACTGCATCTCTGTGCTAATGTGGTGTGGCAACTCGAACTGATGTACTTACGTACGAAGTTCTACGTTGTTACTGACTGACTGAATTAGTTTAAGGGAAGACAGGGAGTGTATACACCGACGCCATTGTGATCGACTCTGAGCCATGTCACCAAATCTCCAACCATTGGTTACGAAAGTCACGCGGACCCCAACCAAGTAGTCTGCATCTACCAACATGGCTCAGACTAGAAGTTAGTGACTTCAAGCACTGATGCCACGTTTTGGTTTGGCCGCCCCTAACTTTCTTCCAACCATCTCCAATACCGGATAGCATTGCACGTTGTGGTAGTCGGTGTTCAGGCATACGTAACACGTGGCCCAACCATCTCAGTCGATGAAGATTCATAACCTCATCAACTGATTTACCATCATTCCCTAATACCTTGCGTCTAACTTCACTATTACTTACCCGGTGATCCTAGCAATATTTCTAAGGCATCTGTCGACAAATACTAGTAGCTTACGAGTGTCTTCTACTCTTAGTGGCCATGTTTCACTGCCGTAAAGTAAAACAGAACGGACTGCAGCGCAGTATACTCGTCCTTTTATTGATAGACGGATATCTCGCCTTCGCCATAGGTGACGTAAGTTGGCAAAAGCCAAGCGAGCTTTTCGAATCCGTGCTGAGATTTCGTCAGATACCAACCCATTAGGGCTGATCAGACTTCCAAGATAAGTGAAGTTGCCAACGCGTTCGACTACTTCACTCCCTATCCTTAGTTCAGGTGTTGACGTAGACCAGTCCTGAAGCAACAACTTGCATTTAGAGGGAGAGAAGCGCATTCAAACATTCTGGCATTGTTGCTTAGTGCTACCAAGACTTTGCATTTTGTCAGCGTCTTCAAACAGGACTATGTCATCTGAGTATTCTAAGTCGATAAGTGGACCTCCTGGATGGAGATCAATACCCGAGAAAGTTATTTCCATCAGTAGATCTATGATGAAGTTAAACAAAAATGGGGAAGGTGGGCAGCCTTGACGGACACCACTTGAGGTTGCAAAAGTAGATGACAGTAAGACAAAAACCAGCAACTTAAGGTACGAAGGTGAAGTCATACTGCTCAATGTACAAGGGGGTTGGAAACAGACAACTGTTTTCATACCTCTAACAGTCTTCGGGATCACTCTGTTCATAATCTACTAAGTGTATAGAATGTCGAATTATAGCTGAGTAGTTTGTTATACAATTGACTGTTTGAAATAATATAGGATTATTTAATGAAAAAGAACTGTTAAGGTTAGTTTGGAAAATTGTATTAATCACAAATCATTTATTTAGTTGGAAACATTTGACGTTAATGTATAGGCTGGTGAATAATATTCTGACGTTGGTATCAAACAATAAGGGTTTGGGGTTCTAGTGTGGAACATAAATTTTCGAGTTGAGGTGCATTCAGTTGGTAAATTTCATATAAGACAAAGTAGATTTTGTAGAATCTATTGCTAATTATTGTCAAAACTACAAGCAACACAGTATAAATTGTCGCCTTCAGAGTTAAAAAAATGAAGTTCTTTCTTAAAACCAATTTGTCTTTCTCCTGATTGACTTTATTGATGGTTAGTTTTGTTAATTAGGTGTACAAACTTCGATAGTGTTCGAGAATTAACAGACTTTATTGTAATGATAGAAGATTAAATCACAAATTATAAATTCTATAAGTTCTCTCTTACATAGTAAAATAATTCATAAAAAATGTACTGAAAAGATGGATGGTGGCTAGTAGTGGAATTCAGGACGCGCGTTCCGTCCTATTTGAGACTTGTCACCCGGATGCACCTGCACCCGAGAATTGATGTTCACTACAAGAATCGAATCCAATACCGTTCGCTTCAAGCGCCATCGCGTTACCCACTTGATTACTGAGTCCTGATTGCCACTGGCTTGTGCAATGAAGTGAAGTTTGAATTCATTTTTTATTGTTTGTTTGAATATATATATATGTATACTACACTCTCGGTTCGCTGACTCACTCATTCGCCTCACTGCTTTGTGATCTGAGTTATCTGCCAATAAAACTGTAGTCGCTGCTTCTCTTTGCCTTCTGATTTCAAACACCGTTGAGGATTAGATTATAACGGTTACGAAGGTGATTGGTCAACGAAGCACAGCCACTACAAGACATATTGATGATTTAAGACTGCATTTTTTTCTTATTAACAATTTTATAATCAGTCTACCTCATCAAACTTATCAGTTCTATTTTGATCAATGTTTTCATTAAAGAAACTTGCTCTTGCTTATAGTCAATTGTTTTTACGTAGATATTCTTAATGAAACGACGAAATGAGTGTTGAGTATCTTGAAATTATACGTGTTATCAGATCGTTAGGAATTTATTGTGCCAATATATCACGTAGTTCTGATAATCATCTCTTTATCACACTATCCAAATATACCAAAAGTCAGTAGTCAATCTTACACAACGTAGAATTTTAACGAAATAGAAAACACCAACAGTATTTCAACTGCCCATTTAACTGTCATATACCTTTTTATTTATTTTTTATCACTATTTAAATAGACAGGTATATAGTCTAGGTGAATAACGTGAGTTAACATAAGGATTCAAGATTAGAAGGATGTAGGATTGTGAGATCATATCTAAAGGGGAAGAAGTATAAAATAAACGTAACAATTATACTTGAATTGATTGCCGTCATTTTCCGCCGGCTGTTCTTCTGTGCTTCAATAAGTTTCATGGATAATGGAAGACAATATGGTAAGTCATGATTAACATTTTTATTCAAATATGATATCTCTATGAGAAAACCTGTGAATGGTTTGTTCTGGTTCGTGCAACATTAAAACGTATGGTAATACTACAATATGCCGGCGGTCTTGAAAAGTCAATCAAAATTGGGATAGTCGACGTTGAATATTAGCGCAAATTTTACATGCTATTACGAGTAGTTCGTTGTCGAGACCTATGTTTTTGGTTATAATTCATTCTTTGAAAAGACTAGATGATGATTTTCTTGTAGAATAAACTGCAATCAGTATTTCTGTGTTAGGTGTGGAAAGATTACGAGCATTAGGTGCTAGGAATTAGATTAAGGAGTGTTAGGGTTAAGGATTTATTTTAATGGCAGCTTATAGTACTAGGACTTCCTGCTTGATTTATCGATATTTACCCTCAATACAACCATTAATCAGCTTCTAATGCTGTATAATCCTACCAACGTTTTGCACTTTAGGACTCTCACAAAGGCTACATTTTGACTGGCTAGTCACGAGGTCACATTTGAGGTCAGTGAATAGAGTCTGTTTAGTATAGTTTTAACAAATCGTTAGCAGGTCACGGAAACATGTTTGTGATAAGGATTCATTCGGTTAGGTCTTACGAAGGTACGTAGTAGCGTATTTTGATATTTTTTTATTATGGGGTGTCTTAAAACTGAATCCGTTTGTTTCAGTGAACGCTAAATTCGTAACAGTAGCATATCTTCTCTATGTCATTCATGAAGTACTACATCAAACAAAACAATTAATTTTAGAAGCTGAAATAGGAAGTAAACAAATCAACTACTAAAATTCCTATTTTGCATTGATATTTTAACAATAAATTAGTTGGACATTTTATAAGTAATAAATAAAATGAATATTACGTCTGGGAGGCTGCTGATAAAAATCGCATGACTAGCCACTACTGAGAATTATAATTCTAATGAGATCCCTTATTTACTCTATGGCTAAGTGTCTCTGAGTTGTTCAGTTATAAGTCCGACCAGTACTTATTAACTTTGAATCAACAGCTACGTTTCTTTCTGTTCAGGATTCTCTAGTTTCTCTCTATGCTCTATGCTTGAGTGCAGAAGCCAGCCTGTGCTAAATACTTCAAATAGATTTGGTTTGTATGCAAACATCGTGGCTCAGATCATACCATAAAATTGGAAATAACAATTAGACTTGGACAAGCTGAAAAGGGATGTAAATAACAGACTGACAAAAAAATATAATAATACTAAGACGTACGACACGAGTTAATAAGTGGCGCGGGAGCTTACGACAGATGGGACGTATATATATATATATATATATATATATATATATATATATATATATATATATATATATGTATTAATCTAGTTACTCAGCAATCATATGAAAAGATTATAATCCATATTAATTCGGAAAACCAGTTTCAACTTTTACAATATTCTCATTGTCGTAAGAAACATAATCGAATTTGATCAATTGCATTTCATTTTCGGAAACTATCATAATTACCTATTAATTCAAGCAACCAAATTTAGTAAACAGAAAGTCCACTGAGGGAACAACATCAATTACTCTGATAAAGGGAAAGTGAGGAAACCGAATGCGTAGAATAGTAAAATAAGATAAAAAAAGGGTCTGTATTATTGTTATATCCCGATGAGAAAATGAATGGTAACTTTGGGGATCCATTTATGGACCAATACTATACGTATATTTTTATCGTATCATTGTTAAATAACTAAACTATTCATATTCGTGTTCCACTTATCGAACACGTCGACAACGTCACTTATTGTTAGCGGGACATAGACTGGATTAAAGCATGCTCAATGCACGGTTGCTTTGGTGCACGCTGATTGGCTAATTCTTATTCAATCAGCACTAGTCGATACTTGGAGAATACTCTAGAATCTTCTCATGTAAGTAATATAAATATACTAACGTTTTCCCTAATGTGCTTCTTGCCTCCATCTAACCTTGTTATTTGGAATATAATCTTTTTCCTGTTCAACCGTGTTCTGATTTGGGGACTTGTCGAGTGATTTAGTGTCCAAGAATACTAAGCAATAGGAATAGCTGGATCATAACCGTAAGAGAGGAATATAACACTTATTTTGAAAGTCTGATCAGCCCAAATGAGTCGGTGTCTGATGAAATCTCAGCACGAATTCGAAAAAGCTCGTTTGCCTTTTGCCAACGTACGTCACCTATGGCGGAGGCGAGATATCCGTATCTCAATTAAGAGATGAGTATACTGTGCAGTATTTCGCTATGTTCTATATTACGGCTGAGAAACGTGGCCATTAAGAGTAGAAGATACTCGTAAGCTACTATTATTTCACCACATATGCCTTAGAAATATTGCTAGGATCACCGGGTAAGTAATAGTGAAGTTAGACGCAGGGTATTAGGAAATAATGGCATATCTGTTGATGAGGTTGTAAATCTTCACTGGCTAAGATGGTTGGGACACGTGTCACATATGTCTGAACACCGATTACGACGCACAATGCTGACGAGTGTTGGGGATGGTTGGAAGAAAGTTAGGGGTGGCCAAACTAAAACTTGGCATCAGTGCTTGAAGTCACTAACTTCTAGTCTTAGCCATGTTAGTACATGCAGACTACTTGGTTGGAGTCCGCGTAGCTATCGTAATCAATGGTTGGAGACTCTGGGTGACAGTTTAGGTCTATACACTCTGTCTTTCCTTAAACTATGAGATTAAAATTACTTTATATTTTCCTTTCTACGAACTAATTCTTTCGTCCTGCGCTATGTTCTGATATGCAATCTTTCTTTTATATATTATTACCATTAAAGTAACTACTACGAATTTGGTGTTTATCTTGTTGTGCTAATGAGGTGTGGCAACTTGGACCGATGAACATATATGTGCCTGGTCCTACGCTGTAACTGACTGACTGATATATGGTAAGCATGAATATTTCAAATGATAGAGAACAAACTAAACAAACATGGAGAAAAACTAATATACCCACAAATATTTATAACTGTTTCATTGCCTCTTCTATTGCACCATGCAAGTCTGGTACATTCTCATTTATAACCCAACTGGGTAAAGGTGCAGAATAGCACCAATCAGATCCACTATAACGATAAGCGTGCAGTCGTAGTATTAAGTTATTCATTTCTGGATCCTTGAAAGTAAGCTTGCAATCAGGGCATAAGGGATCTTTACACAATTGCAGACGCTCTAATACATTTGGATCAAGAGAACTTTCCAACTTTTCATCGGTCTGAAGAAAAAACCAAAGATAAATCACCTTTAAGAGTGATACGATGCAACATAAATGACAAAGTAGTGATAATTGACAATCTCAAATATAAGTAGTTAGTTGCGTACTCTGGTGGGCCATTGGCTTAGTGATTAAGGAGTTAGGATTTCAACCATTAGGTTACAGTGGGCCAAGTCCCTCTCCGCTTTTTTGAGTATGGGTACCACTTACACATAAGGTTTGACTAAAAGCCGAGTACACAAATTTGTACTTGGTGAATGAGCTACATTACAACAAACTAGTGATTTTTACTGAGCCATTTAGTTTTAGACTAAGACAAATAAGCAAACAAATAGTATGATCAATTTACAAAGCACATGTTTATATATTCAGCTTCGAATTACAATGTTTATGTATGGCTTATTGATGCCAAATGATTGATCACGTATAAGTAGGTTTGACAAAGTTGCATGTGTACATGAAGAGTTCATAGAGAGAAAAAACAAATAATAATTTTCCATTGCATCATGGTGTACTACTATAAACAAAAGCCTGTTGCATCAATTAACTCGACAGGATATGTAGGACTGATGAAAAAATTTTCTTTCTAGATTCAAGTTGTTGAGATAATCTTGATCATATAAACACATCCATATGATATTCTTATTTTTATCTGCGACTGTTTAAATAATGCAATTTTAACCCTATGTCGATGGAATTAGGGATCGGAATAATCTAAACAAAATATATATTGTAAAACAGGAGCTAAGCTGAGGTGCATATAACAGATATGATATTCTTTGAGTCAATTCAGTATGAAACTCGTAGCTTGGGTTTTTGAAGTAATTCTGTGTATTTCTACCGTGTGATAATTACGAATCAATCATTAAGTGTGAGTAAAATCAGTATAGACATGTGTATTCATGAATAATTTCAATTTGTTTGAGGTCAAATAAACCTTCATAACCAGTCTTTGTATTGTGATTAAGCATAGTTGGATTTTGGGTTTTGGTACCAAGCAAGTTACTCTAAGTCAGTCAGTCGGCAATTTACTCTGAGAACTATCGTAGCTATCACTAAAGAAGTATAGGTACTTCAAAGCAATTGTCCACGCAAGATACACCTTATCCATCGGCCGGATACTATCAGAAACAATCTCAGTGGCAGAGAGCAAACCAGCTTGCAACTGAAGGGCAATTCGAATTGAATTAGGAACAGATGTGGAATCCAAACTTTAAAGGATTACTGAAAACATTTTAATAATCCAGTTTGAAAGTTTTGCACTGAGTACCTACTTACCTGGACGCTGAAACATATATACTTTGAATGAATTAGATGAAATGTTTGCTTTGAAGAGTAAAGAAATCTAGATTACGTTCAAACTAGTGAAGTAACTGGTTCCGATTACTGTTATTCTAAGTAGTATTTAAATGTTACCATGTCCAAAGAATTTTAAGTGCAACCATTCATGAATAAATTATGCGGATTTGTTTGTAAAGAGAAAGTTTCAAAAACGATAGAGAAACCACAATTCAGAACGAGTGGTAGCAATGAAATCACGGAAAACTAGCATAATATGAAATTCAAGAAGAGTCCTACCTCTTGGATTCTGTACTTTTCCCTGTTACGAGAATCACTCAATCTTTGGACAACTTCTTCCAGAGTCATTCCATAATTAGCACCTTTCCCTTTTAATTCACCCCAATCAGCTGAATTGTATAGGGGATCATCAACAATCGGATAACCTAAACAGAAATAACACGGGGATAACAGTCATTACAAGCAGAAACGAAGTCATTTTTAGCCAAACAAGACATTAACACAGAACGAATTGTAGTGTCGGTTACCATGTTATGCCCACACAACTTATTCTAGCTACTGGATAGGTCAATTTATCCATTCTTCTTGAGTTACATTTTGAAATTGTCAATTATTCGCTTATCAACCTTGACTGTTTTTATATGAGCATATTGTGTATGTAAACTTTTTATCCTACTCATCACACGTCTGTAGCTTATTTTTGTGTGACTATAAATATTGATTAACGCTTAGTTAAATTGATTTGGCTCACATGTTTTTTCCACCACGCATCATTTCGTTTCGCTTCGTTCCTTCGATCGTCAGCCTGAATCAATAGTACAAAATATACGTATTCGAAATCCCTTCTCGTATTTGACTTATTTTAATTCCGTTACTTACTAACGCGAGTTAAGTCAATAATTATATACGTAGATAGCTAGGATGTATATTTTGACAACAATCATTCATACGATCTAATTGGAGTCAGATATAGGGCCACTAAAGAATATTGGAGAAGTTGGGACCTTTAGCCATATTTTCCGGACTATTAATATTTACATCGTTACTGTATAATTAATCGATAACTTTATTACTGCATTTTTACATCGCCCTAACTGTAAACTTTCAGCGGATTGTCACTAATATACTTTACTTTTCTGTAATTAATGTTAGTTAATTATGTACTGCTTGTTTCGACCCTCTACCACTTATGGTATGATTATGTTTAAAGTGTAATTTGTTGTTTTGCGTGTTATGTGGTTAGGCATTTTCAGCATATTATTGTATAGGTTTTTGTCATGATAGAATCGGATACAACAGTTAGTCTGCCTTCGGTCATCATCTTCTGATTGGCCGCTGGGTTAGAAGGGGCGCGAGCACCGATAAGCATTAAGGTCTAGATTGTGTAAACTCGTGAAATAGTTCACCGGTTCGGCTGACAATATAGTACGTAGTGTCAATTATAATCTTCAGAGTTAACTCAGCGCAAACAACAGTAAACAACCAAAAGGAATAGAAAATAAAAAAAGACGAATGAAATTAAGATGATAGTTATGGAATTAAAGTAATAATAAGTGTGTCAATGCCACCGACTACGAGTAATACCATCTGAAGTTTCCAACATTGATTAGGAGGTGGTTAATAACAAGGTTATTGTGTTTTCTTTGCTCATTCTAAGTAAAGACTATTTTTAAGAAATAATTCAACATTGCGAACATTTACAAAGATTTATAACTGTACCAAAAATGTACGGATACAAGTTATATGATGTATTGTATTACCTAAGTACTGCACATGTACTCGGATTTGATGTGTACGCCCAGTGAATAGACGACATATTACCAGACTTGTATTCGTGACAGGATTGTAGTTTAAGCGTAAGAAATGTGTCCGAGCGAACTTCCCACCAGCTGATTCTGGTACAACGCCATGTACACCCATTCTACGACTGATAGGCCCGACAGGTTGGCTACAAACCACTACTCCATTGTTTATCTCAAAGCCAGTACATTGATTGATTGGTTCGGTTGGGAAACAGCCTTCGACATGACATATATAATACTTATAAAGTGAAAACAAAACAAGGAAGTAGCTTCAATACATCGTTATTACAGGCTATTTTTATTGCATAGCTAATTAAGAATACGTCTTAGTTCGGAATAATTTGTAGATGAAATTTCATGGTAAAATCTAGTGTTAACTGCATGGTGATATTCACGCTTTAATTGTAATATTTCCAAATTTCTCGGCCTCGATAATGGGTTAGGGTTGAAATATGTATAAGGTCGTGTACAAAAATAACCCCAAAACCATGGAAACTCCAAAATGTTTTAGATTAACTTACACTACACACTTTATTGACTAAGTACACAATGATGTAAACTATTGGCTTACTGAGCAAAAGTAACATGTTCAGAAACAGACATGTGAACTAACAGACTAGTCTTGCTACGCTGAAGAAAGGGGATAGGTACACCTAACTAATTCACTTGATATTCCTTACTGAAATGTTAAGATAGATTAAATTAGGAGCCAAATCTTAACCAACAAGACGTCTGACAATTATTAAAAGAGGATATTTATAACATTATTACAGAAAATAAGGGAAATTGGAAAAAAATGTCTATCGATGTCATTTGCTAAAGCGGTACATTCATACAGTTATGTATAATACAATTTACAACAAAACAAAGGCATTGAAACACCATAGTTATCTTATTTTATCCAATGTTGACTTGTTAGATAAAACGAAGTAAGAACTATCTTAACCTTTTCGTAGATAAGTGAGAACAACTCGAACAGAGGATTACAGAAATTCCGTCTCTAAGACACCTGTATATGAATCTGGAATTCAGAATCCACTAGATTTCCGGTTTACTTAAGAACTCTTTGTCTGTAGCAATTAAGAGGATGTTCCGTGCAAAAAGCAGGAGACTATTTTCTGTATCCCTAAAGGATAAGCTTCCCTGTCTGACAGCCTGTATATGGATCTATTATTATACCTGCTCCAAATGGAGGAAAGTACATTGACCAGAGCCAGTGTTCGCCTCTACCACAAATACGAGCACATACTCTAGCTTGGTTTTACAGGGACAAGAGGAAATCTGTCAAAATTACTATTCACAAACAGTTGATTGACTGCAACTACTCAAATAACCGAGTTGTTAAGCATACGGTTATTATTAGAATCCGTTTAAATCCTTATACCTAATTCTTCGAAAGAGTGGAAACAGCAAGTCCTGTACTATTTTTATAGATTTTTTTATGCTAGAGTGACTTTACTGTAAATTGTGTTATAAATAACTTTGATCTCATTACTTTGCTTCATTCAACATATAGCACTTAGTAGCTTAGTGGGAAATGTCCCATTGGAATATTTTGAACTAGGTGTCAATAACTGAGCACTTCATGCACGACTATCAGACTTTAAATTTTATAGCATTGAAATGTTTATATGGAGTTTTACCCAGTCAGTCTGGTGAAACCTAGAAAATTCTAATTTACTACCCGGTGTGAATATCATCAGGTGAGTGTTGACATCAAATGTTGAGATGGAAATTTATGGGTTATGGATTGAAAAGCTAGTTAGTGAATTAATAATATCGATGATTTTTCCAAATAAACAGTAGATCATAGACGAAGGCATGGACATATACTGAGTTATAAAGTTCATTATTTCGTTTTGAAGACTGATGGGAAGAACTGTAATTTATGCAATATAATGATAAATATACATCATATAGTCTCTTCAGTTATAGGTCAATATTACTGAACAGCCACATCGTAGATGCCGAGTTACAGTCAAAAATGCTGAAGCATGAGAATACTGAATCGAACTAGTGAAAATATCAAAATCAAGCTTGTAATCCAAATTCAAATCAAGAAATGATACTATCTATATGGATGCGTTAAGTTAGATATAGAAAGAAATGATAAATATGATAAACAAGACGTACTTTTGCAACCTCCTTACTACTAATTTGTGATTGCAGACGTACAGATGTGTCGTAGTTCTTGGCGATTAAAAGTAATCCAGAAGTCATTCTATCATTTTTTTAAAACCATAAGCGAAAATGAAGTGTAAATACCATGTGTTAAATGCTAGGACAAATTAAAATCACCGTTAAACTTCATGCAACACAGAAACATAAATAATAAAATAAAGTTCGTAGAACATCGGGAGTGAAATAATATGAAAGTATTCGGAATTTCGTAAAAATTTAATTACTAAGCAATAACCTGAGCAATTTGACAAATTTCTTTTGAATTCTAATCAGCTACCCCCTACATGATTGAGCATGAGACATAATAACGGGTTTTCCACAGACAACATTTTACAGTGACTACGAATCTAAGTTGCAACAAGTCACATTACTATAAGTTAGAGACTCACCAAGAAATTAAAAATAGTAACAAGATGATTTTGGAAACGGCACGAAAAAAATGGGCTTGCAAGTGTCCACATTTTGACAAAAGTCAGTCAGTCAGTCAGCTACAACGCAGGAGCAGGCACATATATGCATCGGTCCAAGTTGCCATACCTCATTAACACAACAAGATGGACACCGGATTCATAAAAGTAGTTAATTCAGAGGTGGTAATATATAAAAGAAAGATTGCAATAAGGATATAGTATAGGAAGAAAGAATTAGTTCGTAGAAAGAACCTCTTAATTTAAGGGAATTATTATTATTTCAACACAAATATCGGTACAAGAGGGCACTAAATATATATGCTCCACACCATATTTTTGTGTGTGGGCTGTGATACTGCCCGGGTGCCCAGACCGAAGCAGGTGGTTATCTTAGGGAGCCACACCCCGAGCCTTTGACCTGAGGGTTTAATCCACAAGGCAGTGGAACATCGTGAGGAGATGCATTCCTATGGTAGCCGGTGACCAGCGATTGGTTCATACGCCATTTGTTCCCGCAGGATACTGGAGCCCACGTGCACCATTGGTTTGGGATCCGGTTAAAGCGCTGGACATTCGCTTTTCGTCCCTTCATTTTCGTAACAACACCCCCACCACGAGAACGCAATGAGTAGGACTTCCCTGACAGAGGCTGTATACGCGTGGCCATGAGAGAGAGTGTATACAACGACGCCATTGTGGTCGATTCTGAGCCATGTCACCAAGAGTCTCCAACCATTGGTTACGATAGTCACGCGGACCCCAACCAAGTAGTCTGCACCTACCAACATGGCTCAGACAATTTTGACAAAAATGCAGACTAGGACCTGATATCTATTTTAAATTGTCCTATTGTCACTATCTCTTGTGTTGTTATTATTAAACTGACGGTCTCGACTTAATAGGCTCGCAGTACTACGATCTCTGAGCTTCACCTGTCCCGACCTTAATATCGATCTATAAACTGGTTAAAAAAACCTTAGGAATGTTGTAAGTCAAGGTTTACAAATATACCACTTGTTCTAATAGATATTTACCACATAAGGAAGTTCGTCATGCTTTAGGCATATGATCGTTTGTCTCTACTTTTCGGTGCCCAGGTGACCTGTTTTTTAAGACAACTGATTATCCCCCACTAACGACTAAAAAATATTTATTTCTTGGGACGAATGCTGAAAATGAAGCTTCTTCTATAAAGACAAGCACAGGTGAAAGCATACTGATCCCTCATCTATACATATGAGAAATAATCACTGAAAAACTTGAGTAAAAACATGATGAATACACAAATTAAGAACTAACAAGCATGAGATCATTAAAATTTTGCCCAGTAAACCAGCTAGCTCACAAAGAACTAAAACTGAACGACTGACATAAGCGCTGCAACAAGTTATAAACGAACAGCTGGAGACTCTCAGTGCTTAACCAATGTATTTTCACGCAAGAAGGCTATTCAGTCTGCTCTTTCACATGCAAATCAAACTAAAAATTACTAGCATCATGAGCTGATACCACAGTTATGGTCGTTTTGAAGAGCTAGTCAACAATGAATTAGGTGGGAGATGTCTAAGCTAATGGATTGTATGTGTAAGTAGTCAATCTTCTAGGAGTTCCATATACAAAAAATAAGAGCGTCAATCATAAGCGAACGGCTAAGTGTAGTGCCACACCAAGTTATTTTTTCATGTCTTAAACATTTGATTTCTCTTGGGTATTCAAGTAATAGTATTGAGGATTTACTGCCTTAAAGCCTGATGGAGAGACAACCTTAGCGATACTAAAGTGTACTAGAAGAGGGTCAAACATCTATTGCGGTCGAAATAAGGCCTTAAACAAATGAGAGCGATTGAGAGAAGTTAAGATTGTGAATTAGGACTTGGCTTTTCACCACGTTTTAACATATAATTAGCCATAAGGACGAACAAATTGTGCTCCAAAATCCGAGATTCGCAATCTCAGATCTGGCTGGTATATTTATAAACTAGTCTCGCTATCCTATCAAAGCAAATGTGGGTCACGTTTATGTAAAATCTAAAGCACAATCACCTCCACATACTTTTGTTAGGTGAACCGTTACCCATAGTGAATGAACATACCTATCAAGGCGGTGGGTAAATCGTAGAGGACGAAGACCATAATCCTTGGCCAAAATGTGTGTGATGCTGTTAAGTGTGTACTGGCCACAAGGATGAATAGGTATGGAGGGAGGTTTATTGACCACTAGAATATCGTCTGAATCGTGTACAAACTCGATGGGAAGATCTTGGAGGTAAAGTGAACTAAAACATAAACATACTTAGTACAGGACACTCATGGCGATGAACCTTTTGAGAAAGGAGATCACTGTCATTTATAACATAGTCAGGGTCGACTTTTGCATTATTTACCAGGATTTCACCTGATTCACATTTCTGTGCCTAACAATCTTCTTTTCAGTAACACAAGGTATTCCTTACGATTACTTCATCAGAATTATTATTAAATTCAGACTGCAGGACATCACGGAGCTTACGATTAATCCACCTGTCCTTTGCATAAGCTTTGAAGACGAAATGGTAGGGGAAAACCTATTAGGATGAGTACGGAAATATTTGCAAACCTTTCTAAATATCCCATCAATGTAGTAGTCACTGATGCTAGAATTTTCGTAATGCACAAAGTCAGTCGCTAATCGTTTCTTCTCTTGTCGTTTCTTAGTCAATATAGCTTTAGCTGCAGCCTTTTTAGCATTCTTTCTTTCGCGTTTATTCATATTTTTCAGAACGCAGGCTAAACTTGTACATAGGCTTCGAGCATAAAGCATGAATACAGATTACACTCAAATCCCCCTATTCACATTGCGACCTTGATAATTGGACAAACATTTGAACCAATTATTCAAAACTTTCAAACCTTGTTGGGTACAAATAAAGAACTGATTATCTCTGAGATCTGAATCAAGGTTGCTGGATGTGGCGGTGAGTAGAGAACCTCGGTCACTCATCCGCACCAGATCTCGCGCGGGAACGTCGTGATGTACATCTACAACCGCTAGTCGGCTTAGGTTAATCACTTCTCAATATATCGATAGCTTGTAAACTATATCCTTGAACCTCTTAGCTTCTGACTTGACTGGGTTGGCATACTTTGATTATAAAAATGTTACCAGCTAAGGCCTTGTCGAACTTCGAACACTTGTCGAGTTCTTGTGAGAAAGGATCATTCATCGGCATGTTTTAAACTTCACAAGTAAGGATTGGAGTTAAGTGATCTACGCTTAAGTTGGAGATTTGTGGCATTTAGAGAATCAATCTCTCTTCTCATTCACTATGTAGTTATGCAGATCGTTGTAACTACTGGGGTACACTATTAAACACTTTCCATAACTTGGTTCTAATGAGTATCGATCTGTCCACTCAACCACTGGATTCAACTTGTGGCGGTAAATAAATCCCCAAAATAAATAGCTCTGTAAGTCTTCGACATTTGATGCTGAACACATTAGTTTTGATGAACTTCACTAGCTGAAGATGCTCGGTCACGCATCCACACCAGAACACGAGTGGGAACGCCATGCTCAACTTCTCCTGCAGTCGCCAACCAGCTTAGATCAGCCGCTTCTCGGTATGTCGGTTACATATCAAATATCTCTCTCAACCTTCTCGCTTCTGACTTTTGATTTCACTTGGTGAGCACGATTCAATTATAGAAGCTGTTACTGGTTAATGTGCTGTCAAACTACAAATACTTGCGGCATCTTCAAAGTCCTGTTTATCAGTCATGTTTACGGGTCTCTACTTTCCAATGTCATCGGTAAAACTTCCAACAAATGACTCTGCGAGTCTTGTTAGACCATTCATACAAAGTAAAAAAGAAAGAAGACCTAGGAATGTTGCTTGAGGAACTCTACTTTCCACATATCTTCATGGTAACGGGCGCTGTTTGCTTCCACTCACGTAAAGACAAATAAACCGTTAACGTAAGCAATTCTCTAAGTCTTCGACATTAGTGCTGACCTTATTAATTTTACTAAACACACCCTAGCTAAATGTTCTGTGTCAAGCATCTTCAGCAGAACCCCATCCGGTATGCTGTGTTACGCATCTCGCACAATTACTGGTCAGCTTACATCAAACACTTTTTGGGATATCGCGTACTCTCCAGATATATCTTCGGACTCCTTCGTTCTTTCCTTCTGGTTTGAACGGTTTTGGGTAATTGATTACAAAGTTGTATTGGAAAAATTGTTTTCAAAACCTAAATGTCCGTGGCGCTTTTAGTGGTGAACCTTATGTGATCTGGTGTATTAAATGATAAACTGAGTCTGTCCCTTGGTCTTTAGTCGTCAGTATTCAGTAATAAGGATAGAAAGTCTATCGACCTTTATTAAACATTGCAGTTTGTAACACTGTCGAGGTTCAATCTTGTTTTGAATATATCAACAGCAGGTGCTGATAATACATGTTCCAGTAGAGATTTTCAGTAATTCGTTACTCGATACGAGAAACAAAACTCCACTTGTTGAATTTTCTTCGAATGTCCTAGACAGGAGGAACAGATAAGACATATTAATACCAAGGTCATCGTTCAGTATACGATAAGTTAATATTAAGTAACCCCGATTTCTAAGGTAAGATTGTAGTGACATTCGCTCCCAACCACACAATCGTCAAAGCTTAACACGAGACAACTGAGGAAATAGATATTCAAAATTTAACGCGGAGAAAAACCCAACGATGGAGAAGGAGTGGTCTTACTTATGACACATTATTTTTATCCATATGAAATCTATTGTTTTATCTCCCGTCTAAAGATGTTCTTCATCATATATTGATGACTGTCACAACACGAATGAGTCAGGGTAGATAATGACGTGACATCCACCTGTGATCTTAAAGATTAGGCAGTTACATCATCACAAATCTACAATTTTAGGACTAGATCTATTATGAGAGCAGTACTATTATCATAGTAGACCATAATTCTAGAACCACGAGCGCTAAAACTAGATCACGTTGCTTCTTCGACCTCAGGATTAGCTTAAGGAGTTTATATGGTTGGGTTTCAACAATGTCATTGGTCCTCTTAACCATTGTAATCAGTGTTTTGACCTGAAATTCCTTAGAATTATCTGGTTAGATGCTGCGGATATATTCTTCGAGCTTCTAAAAATCATGCCCGTTTTCTACTTTTAGAATCAGGATAGTTTGACTTCAGCATAATACTCACATTCTATGGGAATAAATCCTTCATAGTCAAGCCACGGTGGAGTTCTGTCGTACTATGACACCACAGATTTAATTGAAGTCGAAGTGTCTGCAATCAATTGTGCTTCTCCATAATTTCAGCCTGAGACTGTCCGACAGTGTATTGAATGTAGACTCTGTATTATCTAGAATGTACTCTTTAGTATTAGAATTATTAACTGAACTTCAAACAGACTTATTTGGTTCCTGGTATTGTATTTATTCAACATGTCGGTTGTGTGTTCCTAAGCCATTAATATTTAGAATTCGCACCACAGGTTTCTCGACATTCTTCATCACAATCCCCTTCAGTCTGTCAGCAACAACGTACAACTTCTTGCGTACGTACATAAGCTCATGTTGCCATACCACATTAGCACACAGATACAATTGTCAATTCAAACCTCATAGTGGTAGAGGTAGTAAAGTATAGGCAGCAATCGAAAAGATTAGGGATTGAAGATGCTATTCAAGTAGTCCAGTGAAATGAATTCGGAGCAATAAGAAAGGGAAATGAAGAATTTAGAAGATCAGAATATGGGAGAACACAAACAGTGGATGCACCTGCGCCATCGCAAACGATTTTGAGACATGTCATTCAGGGTTTCCAACTATCGGATGCTATTGTCTCGCCGATCACAACCAGGTAGTCTACACCTACCAGTCCACTTGTCAGTGACTTCGTGGATTTGTATCATGGCTGATTGAAGATAATTTCCACGACAATATGTAACTTCTACAGACTCCAAACACCTCATATTAGAATGAAGAATTCTTCATTTTAACGGATTTGTTGGAGTCTCTCTTGTCACAGCATGTTTAGTATTTCTGTATTGCAGTGGAAATGTAACTACTCACTTCCAGAGCTCATTAGATGTTGAAACACCATCAGAATCAATAAAGTTTTCAATGTCGTGACAAAAGTTTCTGCCTGACCATTAGAACAAGGGTGTCTGGGAGCAGTGAACAGATGTTTGCACCCTATACCATTCAACCAGGTAGTGACTGCATCTGCATCAAAATGAGAGCCATTATCGGTCACTAACACCATGGGAACCCCTTCTCGGCTAAACACCTATCTTAATGCTTTGATTGTAAAGTCAAAATTTGGGGAAGTGAATAAAACTTCAGACCACTTTGAAAAAGAACCATTTACTACAGTTGCATAGTATTTGTCAGGGAATGGACCACAATAATCTGCATGAGTTCTCTGCAAGGCCTCTGACGATACTGGCCATGGAATTCCCATTGAAAGATGATTTTTTAACTCATACCATCTTCACAATGGTTTGCTGTACGACCTATGTCTGTGTTTATCTTCGGTTACCAACATGTGAGTCCTGCCAAGGACTTCATTTTTTCGACACCTAAATGTCCTATATGAAGGACAGATTTATTTAATGAAGGAGGAATAATAACACGGCCATTTAAACACAAAATACCATCATGAGTGTTAGATAACTCATGACGTTTTGAAAAATAGAGAGGAAATCTACGTTTAAGATTAGCATTCCAAACTTTCCGTAAGCACTGAGTATACATTCAAAGTATCTACGACTTTCTCTGATGAGATCAGGATGTCTCAGCGGTAAAGGTTGCACTAACAAACAGTCTGAAGTATTGACAGGCCCATCTTGTGATGACTGATGAGTAATGTAGACAACGTGTTGACTTTGTTTGGCGCTGCTGTGCAGAACTGTATAGTTATGGACACTCAAATCAATACTCCATCATTCAACCATGGCAGCTGGGGAATGTGCTGGAAAATTTTCAGGATGATAAATATACTTTAAAGCTTAATGATCAGTAACAATGGTGAATTCTTTCTGAATACATATCTATTAAATCCCTTAACAGCCCGAAACACAGAAAATGCTTCTCGCTGAGTTTGTGAATAACGTTGTTTAGTAACCGTAAGTTTGAGTGAAACACAGATAACTGGTCTGCCTTCCTGCTCCAAAACTGCATCAATACCCACTGCTGGCGCATCAGTAATAACTACAGAATATACACTAGGTGAGTAAGTTAGAAGAACAGCGTCACTTTGGAGAAACTTTAGTGGACTTCTTAAGCATGACTTTTGTCCCTCACTACATTTAAGTGAATTAGATGCAAAAATAATAATAAACATTTGGCAGGACAAGAAAAATTAGGAAGAAAGCGGGAATGGTATTGAAGAGCACCCACTAATGAATGTAGTTCTGTAAGATGTTTTACAGATGGTACATTTTTGAGTGGATCTAGTAGTTTCATATCTGGTCTAAACCTATTGCCATCAACTTGGTATCCAAGACATTCGAAACTAGATACAATAAATGAACACTTATTTGGATTCGCCATAATATTCTACTTTATTAAACGATGTGATAGAGCAATAATTCTCCGATCATGAACTACCTTATCAGAACCGCGAATAATGCGATCATCATCAACTTTAACACCATTGTAGTGTGGCGTCGAGTCGCGGTTGACTATGGTCAATTCAGGAAGACTACGTGCCAGTTAACCGATGAGATCCGCCGTAAGCCAACTATTAGAAGTCACTTGATCGCTGTAGTCGAGATGTATTTGTTGGAAA